TTCTGTTTAATTGGTAAATACTGATAAAAAGATTAGTTTCTGTATAAATCAACTCAGGTTTTCATTAAATAGACTCGTTTATGCTTATAGTCTTACTCTCTTCAGCCGCCGATGGCGTTTTAGTTTGTCGACATTGGCCACGTAAGTATTTCCCCTGACTCCATGTGTATTTTTTTTTTTTAGATTGTTTATGCTCTCTGTTAGTTTTATGCTTTCAACTGCACATGTTTGTCAACAACAAAGAAAAAGAAAACGAACAGAAAGAAGAAGACGAAGAAAACTTAAAAGAATAGGAAAACGAAGACGACGAAGAAGTAGAAAATGACGATGACGGTGACAACGAAGAGGAAAACGGCAAAGGAGAATACGACTACAAAGAAAAGGAAAACATGACAAAGAAGAAAACGAAGAAGACGACAAAGAAGGAAAGGGCGACAAGTAAGAAGAAAAACACAACAAAGAAGAAAATGAACACAAAGTCAAACAAGAAACGAAGAAGACGACAAAGAAGAAGAAAACGAAGAAGACGACAAAGAAGAAGAAAACGAAGAAGACGACAAAGAAGAAGAAAATTAAACCGACAAGGACGGAGAATGAAACGAATAATAATAATAATAATAATAATAATAATAATAATAATAATAAAAAATCTGCAACTTCTACGGGAAGAAAACTGAAAGAAACTGGTATGAACACCACCCAGACCCGGTTACGGAGATAGGACCTGTTACAATTCTATGGGATTACACAATACACACTGACAGAACAATCAAGGCCAACCGGCCAGATATTGTTATTAAAGACCACAAACAAAAACGATGCCTCCTTATTGATATGGCAGTCCCTGCTGACTGCAATGTATCTTTGAAGATATTCAGAAAGCTGTCAAAGTACAAGGACCTTGAAATAGAAATCTCGAAAATGTGGCATATGGGAACATCAACAATCCCTGTTGTAGTTGGAGCTCTAGAACTGGTTGGAAAAGATTGCAGTAGACTAATTGAAGGGATTCCTGGAAGTCCATGCCTCAATGAGATACAAAAAATTGTTCTGACAAGTACAGCCCACACCTTACGAAGGGCTTTATCTATGTAATTTAATTCTTTTTTTTTTTTTTTTTTTTGTCAATGGAAAGTGTCATGATGCCATTTCTAACCTTAGGTCCCTGGGCGGAACCCGGGAAGAAATACGTAAACGCCAGAAATCAAAGAAAATAAAAATAATAATAATAATAGTAGTAATAATAGAAATAATAATAATAATAATAATAATTTTCATTTAGTAGATTCTGTAGTAAATCAAAACAGAAGCCAAGAACCAACTATTGCAGCAAAAGATATGAAAAGAAAGCCAAGGATAAAGCCCTTGAACAGATGAAACAACGCTGGCAAGACAAACCTCTGCATGGCCAATATCCAGAACGTGCAAATAAACCCAATGTTGATAAAGTTAATACTCATCGATGGTTACGAGCATCTGGATTAAAGTCTGAAACTGAAGGCTTTATTCTTGCAGCGCAAGACCAGAGTCTTTTCACTAGGAATTTTCAGGCAAATATCATACATAATAATGTGGATCCAAAATGCAGGTTCTGTGACAAATACCAAGAAACAATAGACCATCTAATCTCAGGATGTTCTATACTTGCCCCAAATGAATATAAAAATCGTCACGATAGAGTGGGGCAATACTTACACTGGACAATGTGCAAACACTTTGGAAAATGTGCAAACACTGGTATGAACATCGGCCAGCGCCGGTTACAGAAATAGAAGATGTCACCATTCTATGGGATTATACCATCCACACAGACAGAAAAACAAATAGGCCGGACATCATTGTCAAAAACCAGAAAGAAAAAACTTGCCTACTAATTGATATGGCGTCCAGCGGATTGTAACATAGCAACCAAGGAATTTGAAAAACTATCAAAATACAAAGACCTGGAAATTGAAATAGAAAAAATGTGGAAATTGAAAACAAGAATAATACCAGTGGTAATAGGTGCACTTGGAATTATAAAAATGGAACAAAACAACACATTGAAAGAATCCTGGAAACCCCACTTAAGAGACATACAGAAAATTGTCTTATTAAGTACAGCACAACACTAAGGAGAACTTTGTCTATGTAACGCTAGCAACTTCATCGGAGATAAAAAAAAAAAAAAAAAAAAAAAATTAACATGAAATGTGGCCATAACAACAAAACGACCTGCCTTAGGTCTTTCCGCAGACTTGGTAGGTAGTGTGTCCATAAAAATCGAATGATGATGATGATAATAATAATAATAATAATAATAATAATAATAATAATAATATCGTCACGATAGAGTGGGGCAATACTTACACTGGACAATGTGCAAACACTTTGGAAAATGTAAGCAAACACTAGTATGAACATCGGCCAGCGCCGGTTACAGAAATAGAAGATGTCACCATTCTATGGGATTATACCATCCACACAGACAGAAAATTTGAAAAATAGGCCGGACATTATTGTCAAAACCAGAAAAAAAAACTAATTGATGCCTACCAAAAACCAGAAAAGAAAAAACTTGCCTACTAATTGAAAATTGTCAAAACAGATAGCAACCAAGGAATTTGAAAAACTATCAAAATACAAAGACCTGAAATTGAAATAGAAAAATGTGGAAATTGAAAACAAGAATAATACCAGTGGTAATAGGTGCACTTGGAATTATAAAAAATGGAACAAAACAACACATTGAAAGAATCCCTGGAAACCCCAGCTTAAGAGACATACAGAAAATTGTCTTATTAAGTACAGCACACACACTAAGGAGAACTTTGTCTATGTAACGCTAGCAACTTCATCGGAGAAAAAAAAAAAAAAAAAAAAAATTAACATGAAATGTGGCCATAACAACACACCACGACCTGCCTTTAGGTCTTTCCGCAGACTTGGTAGGTAGTGTGTCCATAGCAGAAATAATAATAATAATAATAATAATAATAATAATAATAATAATAATATAGATAGATAGATGGGATGCTGGATTTATTTTCTTCCACACGCACACATACACATGCATATACATATTACTTTCAGAAGTATTTGCAATGAATCCCAACGATTTCTGCTGCAGTGATTAAAGCTAAATTTAATTATAAAATGCTTTTTTACTTTTTGTCATAATGTTTCTGATACAAAAATTGTCTCACAGTTTTTCACCAAGTATAATAATTTTCTCTTATTTAATGTATACAAAAACTACTTTTGGGAGCAAATTAAAAATTTACCAGCGTTACCACAAACTTGTAGTAGTGCATATGGATAAAGATACAATTTTAGATAGATAGATAGATAGATAGATAGATAGATAGATAGATAGAAAGAATAAGTTATATAAACAATAAATACATCAATTCATATTTGCAGTAGTGTCCCTCCCCATCGTGTCCAATGGCTTTCATCAGGTGCTTTTCGATCCAGCTAACCTTCAAAGAATGTCGACCTGAACCCTTTATTTAATCTAATCAGGTGTAGACGGTTCTCATTCTATTGATAATAATCTACTGTATTAAAACGTTGATTCTTGAATTTGGTGATATAGTAATTTTGAGTTCAATCCCTGTGCCAGGCACTGTGCATTTGGACTCATTGGAAACAAGGCGAAAATAACTGAGCAGTACTAAATGAAAACAAAACGAGATATCCCGAGGCATGGTCAGCGGAATGAGAACAATTTCACTCCTATAGGTTAAATAAACGGTTCGGTTCGAAATTCCATGAAGGTCACTAGGATTGTCAAGCACCTGAAAAGGCCAAAGAGCACAAAACGAGGTCAGGTGAAACGAAAAGTTGTGATGCAGTATATTTTTTTATAGAAAATCAAAATAAATTAACCGTAAAGTGAGGAGACATACAAAATTAATGCATACAAACCTCTCATCTACGGACCTCCCCCCAATCAACGGACTTCTGGTGCAACGGACAAAATCTGCAGGCAAAATTTTTTTAAAATCTGTATGAAAAAAACTTTCAAATCGTCAGCGATGTATTCCAAAATTTGCGGGCTTAACGGAACAAATTGCACTAGCTTTCAAAGTGATCGCCTGGCGACGGTGGCGGCCCTTTCAAACACGGGTGTACAGTATATAAAGTACGATATATTAGCACGTGCGTGAGAAAGTAGCTGTGAGAAATCTATTATTTTTGTTATTTGGATTAATATATCTATATTAAGTATATATTTATTTATGCCATATATACATGTTTATAGTATTTACATTATGACCCTAATTTCTGGTTGTTACTATAGAGGTTTTATAATTAAAAATAATCCAGATCAATCTACGGACAATCGGATTTAACGGACCACCCATCTCGTATTAGTCCGTTGATGAGAGGTTTTTCCTGTAATAATACCACTATTCGAAACCTGACCTGGCTGTAAACTGGAAAGATCGTATGAACAGCAAAATATCAAGGAGTAATTTTAAAACAGATCTACTAAATTAATCCTAGGCAGATGGTCAGGAACGGACAATTTGATTTCGATTAGAAGACACAGATACTGCAGGTATCCTAATTTTCGGTCAAGGACGTTTTAAAACACACACACACACACACTCCCCTTATCCTAGATAGCGGAAGAGGTAAGGACATTGCTTTCATACATAGGACACAAATACTGTAGTTATCCTGAATGGAGTTTCAGGTAAGGACATTTTAACCTGGTCAAAGTGCACAAATAATTGGGTGAAATGCCGTTCCGTACGGAGATAATTCCGTTATTTTTTATGGGTACTTTGCAAGGATTTGCTGATCATGATAATTTTCATAAATCAATTTTATTCAAAAAGAAAATTAAAAAATTGCTGTATTTAAAGATTCTGTAATGCGCCATTCCTCACTTAATGTCTAATATAAATTTACATAAGCCGTGAAATTGTTATGGAATCAAAGCAGGCAAGTGTATTTCTAAAATGAAAATTTGCAGATAGAACGACAATGAAATAAAATCGCATACTTACATATGACCTGTGAGTAGATATTGGAGTAAAACAGAACAAATGTGCTGTAAAACAGCGTGATCTTAATAAATATTGTCGAGTTCATTGCTTCTCAGACTAGAAAGTGTGAAAAAGGCTTTACAACGCCAGTCTCGGAGTCTACTATTAATACTGCCAATCAATCAATATTACGCTTACGCGGACACTAGCCTCATGTGATTGGATCTGTCGTATTTGACACCTTGGAAACCATTAGCATCATATATAAATATAAAAATATATGTATGTATGAATGCATGCATGCATGCATATATATATATATATATATATATATATATATATATATATATATATATATATATATATATATATATATATATAGGTAGGGGGGAGATAGGTATGTATTAGCGTGTATCACATAAACACATTTATAAGTCAGAATACACAAAACAATAAAACAGGATGTGGAAAAGTTATCGTGTTGAGCAGCTACGTAGACTTAATATTTTAATAAGAAAATGTCAGAACGTTGATTTTGGGAATTGGACCGAGCCGAGAACTATTCAACACCACAAATTATAACGATGTTTAAAGAGAGATTTTTTTCTTTAGAGAAATAGACGCGGCAAAGTGGAAAAAAATTCATCTGGTGTGTTTTTTGCATTCGGAGTTCACCGGTGATGTCCTTTATCAACAAGATAAGAAATAAACAGTGATGTGGGACACTCTTTACCGGGAAATCTTTTGTTGATGTTAGGAAACCTGATGGTTTCGGTCTAGTAGTTTGCCACAGTTAGGGTTTTAAAGTGTTTGGATAAGAGTTTCTGTAAAAACCATATTCTCTGAGTAAGCGTATAACAAATTCCCTAAGTTAATATATGTAATATGCGGCATATCTACTCCATTGTTTCGTAGATGATCTTCTGTGTAATCGTTCGATCCAAACGTCAGGATTTGTATATATATATATATATATATATATATATATATATATATATATATATATATATATATATATATATATATATATATATATATATATGTATATATATATATATATATAGAGAGAGAGAGAGAGAGAGAGTGAGTGAGTGAATGAGAGAGGGAGAAAGTAAGAGAGATTTTTCAGGGCTTCTCAACTCTGTGTGTTATTTGTCAATACATATTTCGAATTAGAGGACGGGAGCTTGCATTACACAGTGTTTTCAAGCGTCCCGTCTCTAAGTACTGATCATGCTGGACGTAGTTTCTTCATTGATCGATCAGGAACAAGTCTTTCAGCTTGATTTGAGCGTAGGTTGCCGTGGAAAGGCTGCTCACAGGAAGGGTCGGCAGGTATTGACAGCGTCGATCGAGGCATAACCACTGCAGGGTGATTTAGTTTCACGCTTTAAGTGATTTTGAGCACATGAGTCAATACTCATTTTGCGGATTTCTATATATAGATTACTAGGAATTAAGGGACTGGTTGTTTCCTATTATTCAGTTTCAGAATAATGTTTTCGGGTATTATGAATTAGCTTGCATATGTTATTAATCTGTTATTTTATATTTATTATATTTCATTGATTTAAAGTTTGGCATATCTTCGGTTCTAAATTTAATTATTTGAAATAAATAGATTAAATTTATATTTAGAGTCATTATGTTGCTGTAGGTCGTGGAGTAGGAATTCGTTTTCATATCTGTATTTGGAAATATGCCCTGTTGTTTTACTGAAATTTTCACCTTTTTCCAGAAAATTGATTACAGGTATTCTTCTCATCTAGGCAATAGTTACATTTTATGGACTTTTGTTGTTTTGTTTTTCCATTGTTTTTTTTAGTGCTTTGGTGTGTATGTTTCTGAGGTATTATACATATTTTGTCAGTATTGTACTAATCGCATATTTTGTCTTTAAATATGGTATTCTATGTAATTAGCTTCCCTGCTTCCAAGGTAATTCATTTAGTTGTTCTATCTTTATAGATTTTTAAAAATTTTATGAAACTGTCACCATAGATCATTGGTTCGTTTATGCAAAGCTTTCATACGCAATTATCATAATAACACATGCTTTCTATGCAAATTCTAAATATTACACATATTTACTTCAACCACTTCAACCGAATCAGAGAACAATGAAAGAACAGAAATTAAGAAGAGAACACATATACATTTTTGAAGATCAAATTTGACTGGAAAGCAAGAAAACGGATCAGAGATTCACAAGGGAGAAGTGCGAGAAAAGAAATTTTAGCATAGAACTTACGGTTCCCTCTAGTCATTTCAAGTGAAAAATGAAGAGATCTTGAATCAGAATGACTAGATATCATAGAGGAAAGTTTATCATAGAGGATTATCATAACAGTATTTATATAAAATACACGCGGAAACTACAGTATGGCGGTGGGAAATTGACTGAAGCCGAGACGCCAGCTCAGAACCAAATGAATTACAAACTCTTCTCTAAATATGTAGCTGGAGAACTAGGCTATAAGTGAAAACGGTAGCGAATCCTAGGAAAACGGCAGACTGATAAATATATACGATAGATATGAAGAAGAAATATGGTTTCGCATGAGTCAATGAATTAAGATTCCTAGCCGCAGATGATATATATATATATATATATATATATATATATATATATATATGGATAACCAGCAGGACAGACTGGGTTCTATAGTCTTGTGTGGCAAGTGGTCTAGGAGAAGGACAACTCTGAATTCAAAACCTGTGGAGGGTCGTTTGGGAATTTGTGTTGCGTAGTACACCATGTCTCTATATCCGGCTCTTCAAAAAATGTAGTTTGTTCTGCAGAAAACATTCACCACTATAATCATACCATATGTGCTGGTGTTTTGGTTGTTGCTTGACTCTCACGCATAGAATACGAAGTGAGAGTCAACTATATATATATATATATATATATATATAAAAGAAATATAATGTAGTGGTTCCAACGAGAGAAAAGGATGTATATTAAAAAGAAGAGAAGAGTGGTAAGGCAAACGTTTTTGGTTATAATGTGGATTTATTTAGAAAAAATATTATGCTTTGTTTTACATAATTTTACGACACGTGTTTCTGGTCTCGCGACCGTCTTCAGGTAAAAGTGGAGATTTCCACATATTATTAAAAATAATTAATTTTTCCTCATGTTCAATGTTAAATATTCTCGATATGAGACATTTTCTGTTTGTGTGTTGGTAATCCGAATTTCCTTCTTGGATTGGCAATGAAGAGTTCTGCGCGAAGGGTCATAAAACAATCGAGAATATTTCACATTGAACATGAGGAAAAATTAATTATTTTTAATAATATGTGGAAATCTTCACTTTTACCTGAAGACGGTCGCGACACCAGAAACCCGTGTCGTAAAATTATGTAAAACAAAGCATAATATTTTTTCTAAATAAATCCTTATTTTCGTTTGCGGCACCTCTCTTCTCTTCTTTTTAATATATATATATATACTTATTTTTCGGTAGTTTTAGACCACAATATTTATAGTATGGAACACGCCTCGCAATCTAACTTGACAGAAAAACAAATTACCCGGTCAAAAAACGTGGGAAATCAGCTGAATTTCAAAATGTCAAAGTCGAGAAAAATATACCCATCAATCTGAATAACAATGCTTTGCCATCCTACCAGAAGTTGGGACGGAGAATGAAAAATTAAAATGGTTGCACTAAAAAAAAAAAAAAAAAAAAGAAACTGGCTTGATGATTATACATTATCTACGAATGTTAAACTAACGTGGAAACAAAAGTAAAGAGAACCCTAACCCTAACCCTAACCATTTCCCCACCCTACTAGGCTGGGTCCAAATACCACTATAAGAAACACTCACTCCCACTGATCTAGCCACGTTGATTCACCTTTCGTCAAAATATCCCGAGGAAAGTCACTCTCGCTCCCCTCTCTCTTTCTCTGCTGTCTGTTCTTGACATTAAGATGATGCTCAACATACGCAACCAGAAGAAGGAGGAAAGAGTCAACCCGTCATATAATTCCTTTTATTGTGTCGTTCACATCACCATTCGCATCAAGTCCAGCAAACACGAAAACACGCAGTGTTTCTTCCTGTCCAGCGTCGGGACAGCATTGCTATTATCAGCACTGGCCTTCAGTGCAAAATAATATCCAAAGAGCACGCGGACTACGTAGTCTTTAATAACTTCGCGCATCGAGCGTACGATCAGCCATCGAGATGGAATACATATTCCGTAATTCCTCAATTTCCTCATGTAAACAGCTAGACTCAAATCACTAAATGGGTGAATGATTCCTCAGCGTTCGTTAGGGATATCAACTCGGGCCCTCAAGTCCATAACATAGTCCTCCCACGTCAGACCAAACATATCGCACGGTTACACTAACTAATACATTATATAATTCCGACCGGGTGTCCGAGAGGCCTATCGTCATACGAGGGGAACATTCCAACGCATGTCAGCATTCGAGGTGGAATGGCCAGTCGTTTCACTGTAGTCGGCTGGTTTCCTCCTCAACTTAATACACACGTCTCTAGGCTGAAAAAAAGCCTTCCAGATATTGCCGTTCTGATCATCTTGAGTACACATCAGGTGAGGAATTACAGGTGCAAATTATGCCGGTACATTTCAGTGTCTGGCATTCCAAGCTCACTTTCAGTAGGCTGAATTAACTGGTCTCGCAATGATCATTAGGAGGAGGACGTGAATTTCGAATGGTTGAGATAGGTGAGAGACTTTCTTTTTTTTTTAGGGACTAAGAGTAATGCTTGAGTCTGCAAGCTGAGGAGATCCCTGCTACCATGCTCTCATGAATTATCTGTGTGGTCTGTTCTGCCAAAACAATTCTTGCCGTGACTTTTGCATTTAGGGGAAGATAATTCATGGACGCGGTAGCTCCTTTTGATATGTCTTTTGTACTTTCTTTTTCCACTCCTTTTCTTTTAATATGAGCACTATTACTATTTTCTTTCCGGTGCTGTCTTTGATCCCTCACTTTTTCGCTTAATCTGCATAAAACAATACATTATGGGTTATCGTCAAACGTGAGGCCTAAAAGTGACCGGTCTGCTGTTACATAATTCTTCTTGTTTCCTTCCCCCACCACTAGCCATTTTGTTTCGCT